CCCCACCCTCCCCCACGCTCCCCCCACACCCCGTTTAAATTGTATTTTGTTGGCATTCATTCCCTAACGCAGATGGAAGGTAGCTGTAATTTCATGGGCCTGCATGTTTGAGATCAAGCTGAAAGCTCTGGCTGCACGAACAATTTGTTCTGATCGTATCCTGCTCATTTCCTCTGTAGTTAAAAGTCGAGACAAATGTGTTTGTGTTGCGGCCACGGTGGAGACGGGGGATAAACTGTATTTGAGAGGGAGGGGGTGAGCGGGGGGGAATTGTTTCTTATTTAATGCTGATTCACATTGGCATGCTAACTTTACATGCTAACTTCACATGCTAACTCACACTGGTAGAACAGAGTTAGTAATTTAAGGTTTTATAAAAATGAATTCCATTAAATCTTTATAGATGATATATATCGTTGTTTCCCAAACCTTTTTTTCTGAGGACCCATATTTTAAAAGTCACAAACAGTTGTGACCCAAGTCAATAAACATTAGTTGTAAATCACAAAATCAAGGTGTACTTGACCCTCATTGAACATTTATGAGGATATTTTAGTATTTATTATATCTAAACAATTAATATTACTCAAATTCTAACATGATGTGAGACGACCCTCAAAAACATCTCTTTCGACCCACCTGAGGGTCGTGACCCATTCTTTGGGAAACAATGATATATATGATATAAATTAAAGGGAAAACCCTAATGATCATCACACTCTGAGAAGACAAAAAATGTTTATGTTATTGCTTTAAATCACTTTATACCTGTGATTTAAATGTGATAATAACATTCCCTGTGAAAGACAGACTGTCACAGACTGTCACAGACCATTCTCCCGTTACTTGTGGAATTACGCAGATGTAAATGTGATAATAACGTTCCCTGTGAAAGACAGACTGTCACAGAGTGTCACAGACTGTCACAGACTGTCACAGACCATTCTCCCGTTACTTGTGGAATTACGCAGATGTTTATTTTTGCTGCATTTTATCTCAGCGTCCTCCGTGGATCAGCCAGTAACAGGACAGAGATTGAATGCCCCTGCAATATCAAAGCATCTTTGTTATTCATATCCATCTTTTCACAGCAGTCTAATCCACATGCATATTCAGCGCCGCAGAGTATCACAGGTTCTGAGCCAACGATGTGCTTATGTCCGCAGGGAGGGGTTCACCGCTCCTCTGCACTGTTTGTCGACGGCAGCTTGATTAAAAAAAGAGAAAAGATTGTTCGAATTTGGTTTGAGTTTTACAAGGGATTAGGTTTGATGAATGCAAAAAAAAAAAAATTAAAGCGTTGGTGACAAACACTTTTGTTCTTTGAGGAAATCTGTAATCTTCGCTGAAACAAAGAAAAAAAACCTTAAAATAATTTTTGCTTGTTTTTCTTTTGAATTCTTTGACAAAAAAAAAGGAAACTTCTGAAATGACCGTAGGTGTGAATGTGAGTGAACGGTTCTCTACGTGTGGCCCGTGTGGCCCCAGGGTGCCCCAGTGACTGCTGGGACTGGCCCCAGCTCCAGGAGGAGTCGTTGTTTTCACCTTTATTACCACCTGTTTTGTTGCATTTCTTTATTGCGTCTGTGTTGTTTTACTCGGCGCTGCTGTCACTTATAGCTGAGCAGAAATATCGACGTTCTGATGCCGGGCTCTGACACAAGGTGATAATCATGTGAGACACGGAGGACATTACTTTTGCTTTAGTGTCTCCATTTTTTTTTTTTTATTTCACCGGGTGTCAAACCGCATTTTTTTTCTTCCCTCTCAAACCACCCCAACCTTATTTACTCCCTTCAGCAGAAAATATAAATCCACGCAGCCCCAAACCGTATCTGGCTGCAGAGAGAGAGAACTTCATGAAGGATGAAAGAGCAGTTTTGCCGTCATATACTTTTAGCGTTTGACAGTATTTGGCTGTTTTAACAATGAAACAGCATTTTCTGCAGGGCTCTCACTTACACTTTAAAGTCTGCTCTTCTTTTTCTGCTGAGTGTTTTGCATTCAGGTGGAAATAAACAGTGTTTGTTGGTGGGATTCCTGACCAATCGAGTAACAGCAGCTCGGACGACACTCCTTATGGTACAATACGTCAGTCAGAACATCCATCTATTCATCCATCCATCCATCATTTATCATCCATCCATCCATCCATTCATCCATCATCCATCCATCCAATTGTCCAGCCATCCATCCATCCATCATTCATCCATTCATCCATATATTCATCCATCCATCCATCATTCATCCATCATCCATCCAATCATTCATCCATCATTCATTCATCCATTCATTTGTTCACCCATTCGTTCATCCATTCATCATCCATCCATCGTCCAATTATCCAGCCATTCATCCACCCATCCATTTGTTCATTCATCCATTCGTTCATCCATCCATTCGTTCATTCATCCATCCATCCATCCCCCCTTATTTCCTTACAGTTGATTTCAATAGAACTGTTGTTTTTTTTCAGCCTTGTGGATTTTTTTTTTTTTTTTTTTTTTTAAGGATGCCAAAGTAACACCTTCCCAATCGGCCCTCGTTTCAACCTCATGGCACATGAGAGGCAGTGCATGGTTTTCATTTCCTGTGATTCTGCCCCCTGTCAGTGGGGCATCAGAGTGGTGCTGTAGATAAACAGCCGTCTGTGAGGGGACCCCGTCGTATCAGTCCGAGGGTCTCTGTAATGACTCCAATCTGAACATCAGCCACGTCTACACTGACGCAGTCACACGGTCGCACCTCTTCTGTTCTGTTCTTCTCCTGTTTTCACATAAAAAACCAGGGCAGCGGTGGCTTGGTGGTTAATGAAGCCGACTTGGGTCTGAAAAGGTTTCAGGTTTGAGTCCACCAGCTGCCAAGTTATCACTGAGGGGCTCTGAGCAAGGCACCGTCCCCACACACTGCCCCCTGCTGACTTTGGTGATTGGTTGGAGGTCACGTTTCATGGTGACAAGTGGTTCACTCTCCTCCACTTTCCTTCACTTTCCTTCACTTTCCATTCTGTCACGATGAGAAAATACGACAGTCTCTTTACACACCGTCGCTCTCAGGGTCAGAGTTCTTTTTGTGTCTAGTTCTGACAGTTGAGATTTTATTCTTATTCTTTACCTTCACATTTCCTCACACTTTGTTACATATTATTGTAACATTATCACAGGAATGAGTTCAACTTCACCCAGACTATTTAAGACAAGAGAAAATTGTTTGAATTTTACTCTTCTTCACGGGAAAAGAGATCAATACTTTTTCACCATAAAACAGTAATTCACTGTTTTATCAATAAGACTGATGACTCATCCATAGATTGTTAACGCACCTGGAGTTTTATTTAAGAGCCAAAAAAAAAAGAAAAAAAAAGACCAAATATCTTCTTTTAAGTCGAGGACTTTTAGTTTAACACCTTCACAGAAAAAGGTGCAGCGACAAAATGGGACTAAAAGGTCGAACACTTCAGATTTCTTCAGCCGGTATCAACTGTTAGCCAGTTTTGGTTCATAATGTTCACAGAGCCTCAGTCGTGGCTCCACAGTTTGCCTGGAACCTTCTCTGAGTGCAGCCAGAATCAGAATCAGCCTTCTGTTGAAAAGAAAATGTTGAGCTTAGAAAAAAAAAAAAAAAAAAAAAAAACCAAACCCGGAGAAGGCAGGACTGTAGACTGTTCAGCTTATTGATTGTTATATGAAGCAAGTAACGACCAAATGAATACTTACATTTAATTTCAGGAAAATAAACCCTGGCTCCCAAAAGATTAGAAGTGTAAATGAGATTGTATTTTTAAGTTGAGATGGAATAAAAACTTTGTTTTTTTGGCCATGTACTGATACTGCAACTTGGAGTATCTGTTTATACGGAACCTCCATCATCCAACAGTACAGGCTGGTGTTGCTGAGGTGTTTACGCAACGTCTTAAGTTGATCATTTGGGCTCTGGTATCGGATTTTGACCAATGTTGGATCGTTACCATCGTTAGTATCAGACTGAACTCTCACTATTTCTACAAAAGCATTGTTTGAGTATTTTCATCAACCCTCACTATTTCTACAAAAAGCATTGTTTGAGTATTTTTAATATTCTGAACGATCTCATCTGTTGCCATGGCGTGTATGTCAGTTTGATTATTTTATTTTATCATAACTTAAATTGAGTAAGTTTGTTAACAGAATAACATCGGTATTATTGTTACTGTCTCCAACTCTATCTGTGATTCTGTGATTCTGTGATTCTGTGATTGATTCTGTGATTCTGTGATTCCGTGATGTTCTGTGATTGTGTGATTCCGTGATTCTGTGATTGTGTGATTCTGTGATTCTGTGATTGTGTGATTCCGTGCTCCGAGGCGGCTTTAATGAACAGCCATTTACCCAGGAACATTACCGAAGCCCCTCCGTTTGTATGTGTCACAGATTGTCACGACCGTTGATTGAAAACTAAACACTTGGTGTGAAGTTCCCTTCAGCGTTTTAATCTTATTTCACTCATCCAAAACAAAGCAATAAAAGCCTTCGTCGTCTTCCTCCTCCGCTTCACCCCCCCCATCTCCCTCTCCCTCTCCCTCACCCTCTCCCTCTCCCTCTCCCTCTCCCTCTTGATTGAAACTACCGTGGCCCCATGTTTGTCTTTATTTCCATTACATTTCCCAATCATAGAAAACACATTTTGTACAAGTGTTTTTTTTTTTTCACTTAATTTGAACTTGCCTGATTTATATACCGACAGGTTGATGAACTGTGATGTCACGGCCGGGTTGTTTTGTAATTTGTGAATTGAAAACTTTTGTCTTTCCCTCTGATGACGTCGAGTCGGTCATTTACCGTTTGTCCGTCTTCCTTCTCGTTCGCAGACACATCGAGAACTGGACGGGACTGCAGACTCTGAGAGACGTGGATATGGAGCTTTACACCGGACTGCAGCGACTGTGAGTGTTGAAGCCGTTGTCTGGTGGGACGACACCCTCACTGACATTTCAGTCCAACTCTGCCTCAGATCAGAGAAAGGACAGAGCGGCGTGTAATTCTGTCTGACTTGTTACAGTGAAGCTGTCGTTTCCTCCAATGGTGTTTGAAGCATTGACTTTTTTTTTAACCCTCACTGGTCCTGATACTAAAGAAATGTAAGGGTTTGTGTGATTGTCATGTTGATGTTCAAACTAAAGCTTCAAACTTATCTCTGATTGTTCCATTGGCTAACAGTGATGGTTAATGGCTAATCATGATCATTAGCTAATGATCATTAAATGAGACAAATCAACATTCCTAATTAGGACAATATTTTTCTTTTTGTATATTGCTGAAAAAGTTAGTAAACTGCCAGCAGGTTTTTCTTCTCCATTGTTTTTCTGACCTCTGAGTTGGTGAAGACTTTGTCAATAATGGGATATAAACTATTGAATTTGTACATTTGTGTATTCATTTTGACAGTTTAATAATAATAATAATAATAATAATAATAATAAGTGGCAGTAAATTAATATAATAAATAAAGGTAACAATGATTATTCATCCCAGCAGATTAACTGCAGATCTTCCACACGGGTTATGAGGAACCAGCAGTTTTGTGGTTCCTCTGGGGCTTGAACCCAGAACCTTCTGCGTCTAAAGACAACTGTGATAACCGCTACACTATGGATCGACCAAACTTCTCTCGCCCACGTTTGAAGCAGTGTTTCTAACCAAAGGCAGTGTTCGCTGTAACACGGTGACTCTCTTTGACCCTCATAAACACACATTTCCTGCTTTGATACAATTCCATACA